GGCTGTGCCGTTCGGGCCCGGCTCTCCCCTGTGGCCACAGAGCCTTGCATGGGAGGACAGCATGGGGGCAGTGCCAGTCCCTGACGGGAGTGAGGGCACATAGTGCCCGGGGCTGCTGCCCGAGAAGGCAAGTGACATTCCTCAGCCGGCTCCTGGCCGCTCCCGGCACTCCTGTCCTTTACTGTACAAGGAGATGCGGCTGCTGGCATGAGCGGCAGGGCCAGACGAGCCCCGACCCGCTCGGTGCATGAATGATCTCAACAGGTGAAGCCAGGGTCAGCCCAAAATGAGGCACAGGCGAGCTCCCACGGCCACCCTGTGCCACCCAGCCCAGAGCAGCGGGGTCCCAGCACCACCCTGGTGCCACCGACACCCTGTACCACCACCTCCCCACACCTCCTGGTCCCTCACCGTGCTGTGCTGGGGGCCGGAGGTGGCTGGTCATGGCCGTGCTCTTCCCCAGCACTGCCAAACGACCCTCCATGCCTGGGCTGCCGCGCTCCAGCTGGTGCTGCGAGCTCAGACTGGGGCAATGCCCAGCAAGGTCACGGTGTTGCTGGCACCATGGCACCAATAGGAGCCCCTGGCTAACTCTCTCCTCTCTCACAACGTCCTGTGCCCGGCGTGGCCCCGCGGCTCTCTGTACAGCACCGTCCTGCCTCGGCACCAGTATGGCCATCTCCTCGCGCCTCGCACTCTGGGAGCAGAAGGAAAGTCTCGGTCTGGGGTGGCACCAGCGGTGTTTCGGGGCTGGATGCTCGCGGGCTGCCTGGGGACTCAGTGCCGGGCAGGGGGACACACCGCAGCCAGCCGGCCGCACGCCTCTGGGATTGGCATCCCCTTGCCTCCCTGTGCACATTGCTCCTGCTGTGTCTAACCCTGCTGGCTCCGGGCACCTTTGCAGCCTGAATGTTCTGGTTTGAGCGACTTTGCCGCCGTTCGGGGCACGCGGTTCCCTGCAGGGCCGAGACTCGTAGGAGTCTGCAGGGCTTGGTGCTGGCGCTTCTGCGTGATGGCAGGGCTGGGAAAGCCCTTTGCTGTGGGAGCTGCGGGAAATGGGGCTGGGTTTTGGCTTGGGGCCCAGTATGCAGCAGGGTCTGCATGTGGCCGCAGCGATGCCAGGAACCGCTTCTTTACTGGCTGCAGCTGAGACGGTTCCTCCCGTGGCTGTGCTGGAGCTGCTGGGCATTGGGCAGAGCTGGCAGCGCACGTGGGCTCCCTGCAGCACATGGCCCTTGGCGGTGTGCAGAGACCGCAGGGCTTTTTTTTCTTGGTGCTTCTCTTTCTGCTCGCCACAGCATCCCTGAACAAGCCTGGTGCTTGTGAGCAGCCCGTGGCCTCGCCAGCAACCTGCACGATGCCTGCAACCACGGCTGGCCTCATTGGCAGAGCAGGGCCCTGGTGCTCGGCTTTACCACTCGTGCACACTCGTGCATCTAACGTGCCCATGGGGCTGGCTTTGCCAGGGCTCCTGTCCCCGCACCGTGTCCCGTAACCCAGCTTCTGCTCCTGCAAACAGATACGGGACGAGGACCGGGGTCCGCCCCCATCGGCCCCCCCCCTACTCCTGTCGGTCATCCCTGGGGGATTCATCAAGCAGCTCGTGCGGGAGACTGAGAAGGAGGCCAAGGCGGCAAAACAGAAGAAGGAAACCAAGGCGAGTGTGAAAGAGGAGGTGAGCCGTGATAGACCCCACGCAGCACTGGGGTGTCCTGCCTGGGCGCTGGCTGGGTGTCCCCATCTGTCCCCAGCTCAAAGCGGTTCCCAGCCGAGGCAGCAGCCAGGGTTGCTGCGGTGCTGCCAGCCCCCACCTCGGAGGCTGAGGGGGCTGCAGGGCCCCACGATGCCAGCCCCAGCCGGGAGCCTGAGCTTTTTTCTTTTGCACGAGCTGGGTTGGATGGCGAGGCCTGGGATCGCAGCACGCCATCGGCTGCAGCAAGCTGTGGCCCTGGCCAGCCGCCAGCCTTGAGCAATTAATGCTGGAGACTTCATTAGTGCAACTTGCCATTCCTGACTTGCTTAATTGGAAGGCGAGCAATTAAGCAGAGCATGAGGCTCTCCGGTTCAGCTCACTGAGCACAGGAAGGGAAGTGCGTGGGGCATCCCCAGGCACGGCACCGAGCGGTGACCCAGGACGCGGCGGGTGGAGGGACAGGATGTGGCCAAGCAGGAGGGAGGAGGAGGAGGAGGAGGAGAAGAAAGATGCCGCCACCAACTCGACCTTGCAAGCCAGGTCTGGGCAGGCACCTGCAGCCATCAGCCGTGCCCAGAGCGAGCGGGTCAGGGCTGGAGCTGTGTGTCCTGCCGGGCTGTGCTCTGCACGGGCATCCTGCGCTGGGCTGTGGCTCCTGGGGCCGGGGCTGAGGTCAGGTCCTTTGCCCTGGTCCCTGTCGGACCCGGCTCCTCTCCTTTGCTTGGCAGCCCGCAGGGGAGGACGGCGAGGCCCGAGCCAGGGACGCCCCCTC